CTGGAACAGATAAAAATCCTCTCTCAGTTAAGCCTTTGAAAACTTTGGTAAGATTATCATTACGTTCACAAGAGAAGATAACTTCGTCTCTGGTTTTAATTGACATAGCACGTGAATTGACCAATTTCAATAATAATTGACTACCATCGAATGGAATGGATGTATTAGATGCAGAATCCATTGTCTTAACATCTGACACTTCTGTTAACTTTTGATGTTTCTTCGAGTCATTCTCTGTGGCTAAATTTGCTTTTCTTTTTGAGTCCATTTTATTTTTGATGTTTTATTTGTTTAGAGTAGAAAAAGAAAAAAGGAATTAAAAAAATAAAAAAAATTTAATTAAAAAAAAAATTATTAGATTCAAAAATATTTTTTAAAAAAAAAAAAAAAAAAAAATCTATATGTGAAGAGATTAATTATAAAAAAATTTTATTTTAAAAAATAATTATATTTAAAAGCTATAGATTTGCAAAGAAAAGTGAATTTTTTAATAAATTAATCAATTTCATAAAAAAAAGAAAAAAAATTAAAAAAAATTGGAAATTATTTAAAAAAAATAAAAAATAAAAAAAATATTTTACAAATTTGGAAATTAAATATATAAATAAAAAAAAAATATTTTAGTTGAAATTATTTTAAATTTACAAAAAAAACAAAAAAAAAAAAAAATTGGGCGCCCCTCATTGTATCTGTTTAATATTAATATTAATTTTATTTTTTTTTTTTTTTTATATTTTATTTTTTTTAAATTTTTTTTTTTTTTTTTGGTAGAATACAAATTAGTGAGTGTTTTGGGTAATACATGGTATTACAATATTTTTTTTTTTATTAAAATTTTTTATAATTTAATACATATTAATACACCACACACACACTTTTATTTAAAATAAAATTAAATTATTTTTTTTAATTTCAAATTTAATTTAATTTTTATTTTTATTTTATTTTTTTTTATTTTTTTTTTTTTAATTTTATTTTTTTTCTGGGTTTGTTTTTTTTTAACACAAACCTCGCATAAACACAAGAATTTGGTTTCTTAAAAGATCTCTATCAAAACAAAACAATTGTACTTTTTTTATATTGTACAATTAATATTAAATTAAAATGGAACAACCAAATGATCCTTCATCTACAAAAAATGATAATAATAAAAACGATAATACCTCAAATGAAATATCAATAAATATACCACCAACAAATATGAATACTACAACTACCACAAACACAAACACAAATACAACCACAAATGTAAACACAAATACAACCACAAACACAGACGATAGCAAAACTACAACAAACGAAGAAAATGAGGATGATTCGTCTTATGAATATATACAGGGACAAAGAATTTGTATAATTATCGACTCTGACGAGAGTACAAACAGAGCACTCAATAAAGCATTGGAAACATTTGATAAAGAAAAAGATGAGCTTTATCTTTTAGCTGTGTAGGTTTTCAGATCGTGTCAAAAAAATAATAAAAAAAACGAATTTTATATTAACCCCAATAAACTTTTTTATAAAAAAAAAAAAAAAAAAGTACAAGTTCACTCGATTATTTAAATGATGAAAAAAACGATGCAAAACTAACTTTATATAAGTATGAACATTATTTTGACTCTATTGGCGTAAGTAGTTATTATAATAAAAAAAATTAAAAATAAAAAATAAAATAAAATTTGGATATTCATTTTTTTATTTTTTTTTTGGAAAATTACTAAGATTCAATACACACCTATCCAAGTTGAATCAATAAGTATTACATCAAAAATAATATCAGAATTAGAAGAGAATGAAATCGATCTTGCATATGTCGGCGCACAAGCATTAACCAATGTTTCAAATCCAGATAATATTATATTTTCAGCATTTAGTCTTATTAAGCAGTATGTATATATATATAAATATTTAATTTAATGGTTACTAACCCAATTTTTTCGTTATTTTATTTTTAGGGTATTTTTGGGTACAATTGTATCTGGTTTAAAGAGTGCATCAGAGAAAAAAGATTGCAAATGGAAACTTGAAATTGTTAATTAAAAATTTTATACACATTATATATCTAATAAAATAATAAAAAAAACAATTTGTAAATAATAACAAAATATTTAAAGAATATATATAGATTTTTTTTTTTTTGTATCTTTTTTATATTATTTTTTAATTTTTTTTTATTTTACTTTTTTTTTTTATTTTTTTTATAGGGTTACTACATTTTTAATTAATTATTTTAGAAAAGACCACCAATACCACCAGAAAGTTCTTGTTGTTCTTTAACAAAAGTTTCAAAGTATTGATAGATGATAGTTACGGCTAAGAGAATACCAGTACCTGAACCGATAGCACCCATGAAATCGGCAACAACGGTGAGAGCACCAATACAGAGACCACCGAAAGCTGCGGCGGTTGGAATGTAACGATTGAGTTCCTTGATGACAGAGGTATCACGATGGCCTTTCATTGTCATTTGTTGATCTTTGAGTTGTTTGGCAACATCACGAGCAGAGGAACCACTGACTTCGATCCAAACCTTGGAGAAGAGGGCACAACTTGTCAACATGAAAGTGATGTAAAAGAGAGCGTGGAATGGATCGGCCAAAACAGCGCTCATGTTATTTGGTGAACTGATGTAATAGGTGAGACCAGATACTGGAATCATTTGTTGTGAATATTCACTGGTTCTCCAGGCACCGAATAAGTTTACAAAAATGTTATCTGGGAAACGACGATACAACAATTGAGAGATGAAATAAAGATTGCTTACGAGTGCACTTTGAAGAATGATTGGAATATTTGAGGTGTAGAATAATTTAATTGGGTAGGTACCTTGTTGACCACTGACACGAGTTGATTTAACTGGAAGATCGACACGGAAACCTTGGAAATAGATAACAACCATGAAAATTAAAACGGTAGCCAATAAATTGGTGATATTTGGTAAGTTTTGTCTATAGAATGCTTCTTTGAGTGCTCTAACTTTATCGTTACGAGTCAATAACAAATGGAATAATGCAATGACTGCTCCCTCAAATTCGGTACCTTTACCAACGGATACTGTGGTTGGTGAAAAGGTCTTCCATACGATGGTTTCACAAATGTTGGTGGCAATAAATAATGAAATACCTGATCCAATACCATATCCTTTTTGTAAAAGTTCATCCAAAAGCATAACAATAATACCTGCAAAGAATAATTGTAAAACAATTAAAAAGCAGTTACCAAATCCTAAAACTGCTGGATCACCATATGAACCACTCTATTATATATATATTTTTTTTTTCAATTGATTTCAATTTTCAATGTTTATAAAAAAATCATTAATAAATGAATTCCTAATATATATTTTGGAAATAATTTATAAAAAAAAAATACTAACCCAAATATAAGCTACACCTTGACCTACGCAAATTAACATACCAAATAATTTTTGGGCAGCAGAGAATAAATCTCTATCAGCTTTAACAGATTGATCAATTTCAATTAATTTAGCTCCTGCTAATAATTGCATAACCATACCTGATGTAACGATTGGTGAAATACCTAATTCCATTAAAGTACCTCTGTTTGAGGCCATAATAACTTTAGCCCAGTAAAATGGATCTGATGAATCAGTTGATCTAATACCATAAAGTGGGATTTGACTGCAAACTAAGAAAATGAATAAACAAATTGCTGTCCAAAGTACCTTTTCACGGAAAGGAATCTTTTTTTTTTAATAAAAAAATAAAAGTTAGAAAATTTGGGTCTGAATATTTTTTTATTTTTTTTTATTTTTTTTTTATTTTTTTTTTTGTTGTTCAGACTTACTTTTCTATCTGGTTGACCAACCTCTGGTACGAGAGAGGTAAATGGTTTAACAATATCTAAGAAACGGAAACCCATTTTTATTATTGTTTATATGTATGTAATTGCTTTAAAAAAAAAAATTAATAAAATTAGTAAATAATATTTTTTTTTTTTTTTTTTTAATTAATTAGTTATATAATTAAAATAATAATATAACAAAATTTTAATAATGAAAAGAAAACAAATTTGGAAAAAAAAAAATTAAAAAAAAAAAAATCAAGTATATATATAAATAAACTTACAATGTAGGGTGATGAATGAAAAATTAAAAAAAAAAAAATTAAAAAAAAAATTAAAAGTGATGAAGTTTTTAAAAATTTCAAAAAAAAAAAAAAAATAAAAAAATAATGACTGTGTTTTTTTATGTGAGAAGGCATGTAGAGTCAAAAAAAAGTCTGAATGAAAAAATTTTTGTTTTTATTTTTTTCATTCCCATTTTTTTTTATTTTATTTTTTTTTTATTGAAGTTCTCTTGGTTTTTTCTTTAAATGCATTAAAATAATTATGGTTTTATGGATATGGAAAAAAAAAAATAAAAAAATAAAAAAAAAAAACAAAAAAAAATAAATAAATAAATAAATAAAAATAAATAATAAAAAAAAAGAAAAATAAATAAAATAAAAAAAAAAAAAAGAAAAACAAAAAATGAGAGTTTTCAATTTTTTTATAAAATTATTACATGAATTATGTATTTTAAATTTTACAATAAACTAAATCAAAATAAATTCCATCTTTATATTATTTTTCAAAAAATTAACTATAGTTAATCTATTTGAATAAATAAATACAATAAAGAGTAGTGCTTGGTTTTACCATAACAATACCTTGAATTGTGAATAAAAATTTCAAAATATTTCAGCTGAATTTAACATATATATATTATTTTAAACATTATCAATGTTTACCTGTTTTGATTTCTCTATTTTTAGGTAATAAAAATATTTTTGTTATTATAAATTCTCACATCTTTGAAAAATTTTGTAGAATTTTAAATTTAAAAAAAAAAAATAAAAAAAAAAATTATTTAGAAAAAATAAAATTAAAATGAAAAAAAAAAAATAAAAAAAAACGAAACAATTTTTTTTTTATCGCTCCCATAAAAACTTTAATATTTTTTATAGTATTTGGAAAAATAACATTTTGACTTATAAAAACATTAACAGCCTGCATCCGTTTGTGTTTGGTTCTTTTATCCCAAATAAACAAGTTTTAGTGCAAGATGCTCAGAATAAAAATAATGTGCCTTTAATCAATCTGTAATCTGTTCTATTACAAGATTTTCATGCAGTCACAACATCTTTTCAAATTTTTTAAAGAAAAAAATCCAAAGCTTTGTAAGTAATGTAAGTCTCTTTTTTTATAATATTTTATATAATTATGTGGAACAAATACACAGACAGAGAGCGGTTATGTTTGGTGGATTTTTTTTAAAGTGATGATAACCTAAATAGAACTTTTTTTTTGATTCCTTTTGGCTCTCTGTTCTAGAGAGTTGGGGGATACTCTGTGATTCTATATTCATAGTTACTCTGATTTTTAAATAGTTAAAAGAACCCACAATATAATCGACTTGTAAAATAATAATAATAATAATAAAATATATGTATTAATTTTATTTTTTTTTATTTTCTTTACAGATTTTTTTTTTCGGTTTTTTTTTTTTTTTCTCTCTTAGCTTCTTAGTCTTGATTACTTTAGTTTTAATATGCTTCGTTTTCAAAGATATTTGACAATGTTTTCATTAATCATAAGATTGTGGGAATTTTGTCAAAATTTCAACTTTGAAAAACAAAGGATATCAAAGCCAAATTTATCAAGATTCACTAATTTTTTGCTTTTAGTGATGAATTTTATGGTTTCTACAAAAGAAAATTTTCCAAAAAAATGTTTAAATATAAAATAAAAAATAAATTCTCGAGTTATTAAAAGATATGTCTTTAAATAGATTATAGTTTTTTATTTTGTTTTTTATTCTCATTTTTTTTATGTCCACATTGACCTAAAATTTATATTATTTTTTCCTTTTATACTAAAATTTTCAAACTAAATGAAACTACTTTTAAAAATAAAATGAGGTCATACAATTATTTTTTTATATATTTTTTTTTTTTATTGTTAATTTTTTTTATTTTTTTATATATATTTGTTTATTTAGACACCGTCACCAAATTTAATATTAGTTTCATCGGTTGAATTTGGTGCATGGAAACTAGCGTGTAATAAAGTGATACAACAAGTAGCACCAACTAACCAAAAAATGGAACTACCAGCGTAGAGAAGGAAATAAATACTTAAGAATGCTTGGATACCATAAGCAATCTTTCTTTGAATATCGGTTAAAGATGTAGAGTTGTGAATATAAACAGAGATGAAAAGTAATAAACCGAGTAATAATAAATAGAATGGATTGGTAATGATAAAGAAAACAGAGAAACAAAGGAACAAAATCAAATAGTTTGATTGAAAATAAACTACATTCTCCTTAATTCTAGAGGTTGTATCTTTCATATTTGGTAAACCATATTGTTGTCTACTACCAACGAATGATCTCCAATCTCTAGTGGTTTCCATACGCTCTTGTTTAAACTCTTTAATCTTACTTGTAATTGAATTGACTCTATGTGAAATTGATGATGGTTCCAATGATATTCCATTGCTGCCTAATGAAAATGATAATCCACCAATACCAACACTACCAACTGGAGAAGATGATTGTTGTTGTTGTTGTTGTTGCTGTTGTTGATGAGTTGGTGGTGGTGATATATTACTTGACATTGTACCTGTATTACCACCAATATTGGTATTACCACTATCTACAAATCCCATATTAATATTTGAATTACCATACATTGTTTCGTTTGAATCCGATTCCATTTTCTTTTCTTTTCTTTTCTTTTCTTTTCTTTTTTTTTTTTTTTTTTTTTTTTTAATAATAATATTTGGTATTGTATATTACAAATTTATAAAAAAAAACTACTATATATATATATATATATTTTTTTTTTTTTATATAAAAAAAGATTGGATATAAAAAAAAAAAAAAAAAGCAATGATATATATATATAACACCCAAAGATAATAAAAAAAAATTTTAAAAAAAAAATAAAAAAAAATTAAAAATAAAAAAATTAAAAAAAAAAAAAAAAAAAAAAAAAATTAAAATAAAATTCAATCGAGTTTGGTTGTTGTTGTTGTTGTAACTGACTGCAAATTTTTTTTCTTTTTTATTTTTTTAATTTTTTTTTTTTTTTTTTTTTTTATTTTTTTTTTTTCCTCTCTTTTAAAACCTCTTAATTTATAATTAATTCTAAACTAAAATTATTATATTTTATTTATTTTTTTTTTTTTTCATTAAAAAAAATAAAAAAAAAAAAAGAATTAAGTAATGAAATATTGTTGTTTTTGAGAAAATCTAATTTTTTTAAAATTTTTTTTTTTTTATTTTTTTTTCATTTTTTTTTGAATTTTTTTCATTATTACGCGATCGTTTTACACAAAGCATATCTATATATATAGGATGTCATTCTTTAGAGGTACATTCACCACATCAAACCTTTTCATAAATACAGGTACGTTTATATTATTAATGATTTCCCCCCATATACCAAATATTATTCAGTTAGCACAAATAAAAAAAAAAAAAAAAAAAAAAGTAATATTAATATCAAATCTTATTTCAATACTTTATTTAACAACAATTTAATATTCAACATAACAATCATTTCTTCAACTATCTATTTTTTATTATTCAAAAAACCATAAAACCAATGAAAATGACAATGATAATGATTGTGTAATAAAATATTCAATTATAATGATAATAATTAAATGAAATTATTATAATGATAATGATAATAATAATTATTATGATAATAATAATAATAATTATAATGATAATAATAATTATAATGATAATAATAATTATAATGATAATAAATATAATGATAATAATAATTTATAATGATAATGACGATAAATAATGAAAATGAAAATGAAAATGAAAATGAAAATGAAAATGAAAATGAAAATGAAAATGAAAATGAAAATGAAAATGAAAATTAATTAATAAATAATAAAAATAGTTGATAGTGTTACAAAAAGATTTGCAACTAAGAAATCAGCAGGTTCAACTAAAAATGGTAGAACATCACAACCAAAGAATTTAGGTCTCAAGAAATCAGGTGGTCAATTTGTAGTTCCAGGTAATATTATCATTAGACAAAGAGGCACCGAATTTCATCCAGGTGAAAACGTTGGTATGGGTAAAGATCATACCATTTTCTCAAAAATAATGGGTACTGTTTCATTCTCGAAACAACCAGTTCATCTTGGTTCAAAAAGAACTCGTAGATTCATTTCTGTACAACCTATTACTGGTATGAATGATTCAATAGATAAAGAACTTATTAAGGTATCTCAACAACAACAACCCCAAGTGAGTCAAGAAAAAAATACCGAAGACAAAGATAGTTGTTCAATAGCATAAACAAAAAAAAAAAACAGTAGTAACAATAATATATTAAAAAAAAAAAGAAAAAAAAATATATAAAAAAAAAAATATAAAAAAAAAATTTTAAAAAAAATCCTCAGATTTTAGTAATCTTAATTGTTTTATTTATTTATTAATTATTATTTTACTTACCAAAAAATCGTAAAAAAAAATTACAGTGGATGATGAGGTGGGAATTTTGACATGAAAAAAAAATGAAATTGACAAGATCTGCATGGGAACTCGAAAAAGGCATGTAATTTTGATTTGTTATTAATTTTTTTTTAATTTTATTTAATTTTTTTTTTTTTTTTTTTTTTTTTTTTTTCATTTATTATTTTATTTTTTTTTTTTTTTTAATACCCCTATTTATTTTTTTATTTAAACATCCAAAAAAAAAAAAAAAAAAAAAAAAAAAAAAAAAGATTAAATATTCTCAGTTTTTATTTTTTATTTTTTAATTTTTTTTAAAACACATAAACGATAATAATGATTCAACAAAAAAAATCAAAGTCACTATATTGGTTCTTTGTCGGGATTCTATATATTCTGATATGGGAAACAAGTAAGTTTATATATTCATGATAGTATAAAATTAAATCCAAAAAGGAAAGAAATACTAAATTTTTTCAAACTCGTAAAAAAATAAAATAAAATAATAGTAATATGTATAGCATATAAAGAGATAGAGAGTGAAAAACAAGTTTATAGAGATATTTCAAAATCAATATTTCAAAATTTACAAGAATCAATAGATAGACAAACAAAACAAGATATCGATAATAACAATTATAAAATTAACCAAGACAATGATAATATTATTAGAATTGATAAACCAACTAATGAACCACCACCAATAACAACAACAACAACAACAATGGATTCATTATCAAGTTTTAAACCATCATCAATAGTTGATAAAATGATAGGTGAATTACCACCATTTTATTTCACATTCAATGTTACAAACTCGTCGATGACTATGCCAATGAATATGACATGGGATAAATTTAATGTCTCTGATATTAACATTAGCGCACCACATATTGAATTCCCATTGGATTTCTCTGCAAACAATATGACATTCAATATCAGTGTTGAGGCTGAAACTTTCCCAATTTCCATGAATTTAATTGCAAACAAGAGTGACGTTCCAATTTCGTTGGGTATCTATGGTGCCGATAGTATACCCGTAACTTTAAATGTTAATAAAATGGAAGCACCCCTATTAAATTATTTCTTCTTTGCTATATTTGGTGCAATAAATGGTATCTTATTGATTTGGGTCATCATTCAACAGGTTTCTATTCAAAATCTAAAGAAACGTTTAGATACAATCGATATATCAAATGATGTCTTAAAAGGTAAAAGATATAAAAGGGGTAATGTTTGGTATAAATCTATAAACTCAGATGTCAATGATCATAGTAGTGAAAATGAAATTTTAACCAATAGTCGTAGTTCGAACCGTGATCAAATAATTGATATAAATGGTAATGATACTAATAATAGTAACAACAGCAATATAAACCATTCACTAGTGTCAATATGTAAACAATGTGGTCAAACTAATGGTAAAACTAAATTTTGTTTTAATTGTGGATCTAGTTTAATCAGTTAGATTTTTAAAAATAGTCAAAATATAATGTTTTTTTTTTAAAAATAAACTAAAAGTAATAAATAATATTACAATTTAGTAATAACAGAGCTAATAGAAATAATATTGATAAAAAAATAGGAATTTTATTTAAGACCAGGTTTTATTTAATTTCTTTTCTTTTTAAATAGGTGATTTATTTTTAATGTGTTGAGTCTAATTTTCATCTGTGGTGTATTCATCATACAATTTCAATAATTATTAAAAACAAATAAAAAAAAATAAAAAAAATAAGAATAATAAAGATTTGAGATTTTTTTTTTTTTCAAGAATAATTTATAAACTTATTTTTTATTATCCATTTAAAATTATTTTTTTTTCAAAGTTTATTTTTGACTGATTGATTTAAAACGGTAATATCAACAAAATGCCAAGAGTTATTCATAAC